GGGCAGGGGGGTCGCTGGCTCTGGGGCTCTGAGGGGCAACGGAGCATTCCTGGGGAGGGGTTTGGGGTCTGGTGGGCTGCCAAGGGACCTGGGCCGGGCTTTGCACCGGCTCCCAGGCAGGCGGGGCGACGAGGCGCTCGTTGGGAGACGTTCAACTCACATGTCTTTGCAGTGGCGCGCTTATGCACGCGAAACGCACGCACAAGCACTCTTAAACATAGTCATGTACGCGCACATGCATGCACACACACCCTGGCCCGTGTACACACAGACACACAAACACACACAAACGTGCACTTGCAACAACACAGACTTTCCGCCCTCACCCTTGCGCGTCCTCCCTGCACGGCCCTGCCGCCAGGTGCACTACTACCTGTTCAAGACGCGCATGTCAGGCTTCTTCCAGACAGCCTTCTACTTTGGCTACACAGCCATGTTCTGCTTCGGCCTCGCGCTCATGTGCGGCGCCATCGGCTACTGGGCCGCGGCTGCCTTTGTGCGGACAATCTACCGGTGGGTCCCGGGGGGCGCAGGGTGCCAGGGGCAAGCATGGGCGGGGGCCATGAGGGCGGGAGGGAGATGGGCCTGTGCAAGGTCTGGCTATGTCACCTGGGGGGGCCAGCCCGTGCTGCAGGTGGGGATTTTGCCCGCCTCCCACAATCTCGACATGCTGGCGGCTTGCTCAGCCCCCCTCGACACTGCCCCTCCGCCCACTTCCCTGGGACTCTTCTCACATCTCCGAACCCGTGCCCGCAGGCAAGTCAAGTGCGACTAGCCTTGCTGTGCGCCCCTCACCTTTAGCATATAGAGAGCAGAAAGATGGTATGTTTTGTAAGCATCCTGGCATCGCTTTGTGGTCGTGGCTGCAGCCATGAGTGGCTGCGGCCATGAGGGGCGGGATGCGCCGGCTCTGGAGCGGGTTGGGCGGCAGCAGGCACAGCCCTGGCGCTTTCTGCTGCTATATCGGCTCAACTGCTAGTGATGACCTCACAGGAAGAATCCAGGGTTCTGCCCTTGGTACACGATGGGTGGTGGTGCCACAAGGGCCTCTTCATGCTGGCAGCTGTCCAGACGTACTGGCCGTCAAGCAATCAGATGCAAAGGGCAACATGTGATGATTACAACGCCGCCGCACCAGAAAAACCGCCCCCCTCTGCGTGCGCCCTCCTGTTGATGGCACGCCCCGGCCCGCCTGTGGAACGACTAAAGCGGGAGAAGTCACGATCAGCGTACAAACTTTGTGTGAGATTGCTGTGATGTCCAGATGAAGCGAGGCCTCACAAGAAATTCCGCCTGCTACAAGGAAAGGAGGGGGCCCCAAAGGTGCAAGAAAATGAGACGCAGCAGCCGCAGCCGCCCCTGCCCGCCTGGTCCAAAGGCGCACGGCGGGCCAGAGCAGCGTGGCGTTCGATGTACATGCGTCAAGGCACAGCGGCGGGGCATGGGTTGGCCCAGTGCACACCGCCGCGTGCTGGGGGACGGCCGGGTGGAAAGCGCCGCCATAATAAGCTCGGTGCATGAGCAGGGGTGCCTGGGATCGGAGTGGCCGACAGTGCGCCAAGCCTAGCGACAGGGAAGCTGGGGGGCGCCCGCATAGAGCTGGGGCCCCGCCAGCCAGATGTAATGCAGCCGCTTTGCATACCGTTGCAACGGCAAGTTCGCACGCGCCCCGCCCCATTCGGCCACGCGACGGCCCGGGGCGCGCTTCGCGGCTGCTGACCGCTCATAGGCGCGGGCATGCCCCTCGCTCGGGCGGCGCATCCACTGGCCTGATGCCCACTGACAGTCGCGTCAATCACAGCCGCCTGCTGACCAGGCGCAACCACATGGACCAGAGGTGGCCCGCCCCGCCGCGCCCGCACCCACCAAAAACAGAGCGCTCAAAGGTCAGCGGGGGCAGGTGGTTTGATGGCACACCGCGGCCGGCAGCGCGCAGGGCGCCGCGGCACACAGTGGGTGCGCCTCGCGCTGTGGGGTCAGCGCACAGCACGTGCGCACGCTCCCCACCTGGGCCTGCAGCGGCAATGGGCCCGACGCGGCAATTAGCCCGGCTGCAGTCCCAGGCTGGGCGTGCGCAAGCGCGTGCGTGCGCATCGATTCCAAAAGGACACATTCACAACGCAAAGGGGAGCAGGCTTTGGCTACATACAACAGCAAGGCTGGCGTCTGGCAAGTGAGGGTCGGGATAAGCATCTGCTGGCGCTGTCCAGACGCGGTGCCGCGGGGCACGGCGCGACCGGGCGCCCGCGGGCGGGCGCGGGACCATCCACGCGCCCGGTCTACTGCAAATGGGTTCAGTCGTTCACACACAAACACACACAAACGAACGTGGACGCGCACAAGACGGCAACGGCAACGGCCGGGCGCTCGCAAGCCGCAGTCTCTGTTTGAAGCAGCCTTGTGTTCTCGTGGGTCTAGTCCAGTCTTGATAGACCGGGAAGCCGGCGTGTGGTCTGGGTTCTGATCCGGGGCCCGCGGCCGCGGGGGCGGGGATTCTAACGGCGGGCACTGGGCGCGCCCTCCCTTGCCGCGCGCCCCCAGGCGACGCCGCATAGGGTCTGGTGTACATGAAAAGGCGGGCCTGCCGGATGACGTCAGCACGCGTGGGGTGCAGGGGCTGGCCGTGCGCCACCGCCGCGGCGTGCAAGAGCGCGGGCGTGCGGGGGCGATGGGGCCGCGCGGCCGAAGGCCAAGAGTGAGGGGCCGTCCCGGAAACAAGGGCGCGCGGCGCCAACGCGCGCGTGCGCGCCCGGCAGGGGAGGCAGGAATTGCGGCGCGCGCAGGGTGAGTCGCAGCTCATGGTCCCATCCCATGCAACGGGGCCGGCCCATGAGCCACTGAGCCTGCGCATGCAAAGTAAACAGAGGGGAAGGCAGATGGGGACCGCCGGGCCCCCACAGGGCCGCGGCAAGAGCCCCGGCGCGCCGGGCCGGCGCGCGGCGCCCGCGGGGGGCGCGCGCTGCTTCCGCTCGCCGCTGTCTTTCAGCGTCGGAAAATAAGAGGCGATATGGGGGGGGCTGGATTGGTTGGGAAAAGGCACCTCGTAGAGAGAGAGGGGAACGAAAGCTCGTGCCCTTGCGGGCACTGCGGCCTTGCGCCGTGCGCGCGGGGGCCTCTGGGCGGCTGCAATCTGCGCGCGCCCAGGGGGCCGCGCCTTGGAACGATGGGCGTCGCGGCGCACTGGCGTGTGCCGTGTCAGCCTTGGCCTACATTCAGGCTAGGAGTGTGAGGCTGCGCTGCCCAAGCGCTAGGCAGGGGCTGTGGCGCAGAATGCTGCATGGCGGCCTTCACTTCTGCTGCTGGCCACCGCTGCGGGTGCACTGCTTGTGGTGCTTGGGCGGGGGCCGAGGCACCTGCGGGACAGGGCGTGCGCCGGCGCGGCCGATAGGCGTGAGAGCAGTGCACCCGAAAGCTGGAGCAGGAGCGGCGCCGCGAGCGCTAAAAGCAGCATGCCTGCACGATTGCAAACGCACTGACGGCGAGGTGCGACCGCAGCGGCGTGTAGGGCGGTGCACACAAGGGTAGCGCACCTGCAGCGCCGCGGCCTTGGCGCCGGTCTTGCCGACGAGGCGCTCCTGCTCCTGCTGCTGGGAGTACCACTGCGCGTGCGCCCACGCGCACGTGGCGCAGCACGGGGCAGGCAATAAGGGGGTTCGTTAGGACTGCCACAACAATCGAGCAGGTGCAGGCTCGCTTGGGGCACTGCATCAGGGGGGAGAGTGCAATCACCGCGACGCGCCCAGGCAGGGTGGCGCCGGGGACGCCCTGGCGAGCGGCCTACGTGCGGCCGCCATTCCCTCAGGGCAGGGAGGTTTTTGGCCGGCGCGGGGCTGACCTGGCGCTTCTTGTTGAGGCGGTCCAGGTGCATGCGCTGCGCCTGGTCCTTGAAATACCTGGATGGTGAGGGGGGAGCAAGGGGGTCCAGGAGAGGGGTGTTAGCTGTGATCATGCGTACTACATGCAAAGCGAGCCGTAAAGCTTATGTGTCGCGCTGTGACTGGCGCGCTCGTGCGGCGCCGCCGCTGCAAACGGCCCGGCGGTGACGCGGCCGGGCCCGACCCACGGGGCTGCTGTAGGCGTGGCCCAGCGCCGCCCCAGCCGGCCATGCTGCACCGCCCCGGGCTCCCAGCCCCGCGCGCTCGCCGCCGCGCATGTCCTCACGTGGCGGCGGGGATCGCGATCGGGCGGGACGAGCTGGCCGTGCTCGCGCTGGTGCGCGAGGCGCCGCCCATGCTGAAGACGGAGGACGATGGCGACCACGCCGCCGAGATGCCCTCGAGCAGGCTCAGCTCCTCGTCGTCCAGGGCCCCCTCGTCATCGCTGTCGCCCGCCTCGTACTCGTCGCCCTCCTCGTCCTCAAACTCGTCTTCGTCCTCGGTGGCGCCCGCGGCGGTGCGGGCCGTGGCGGCGGCATGCGCCATGAGGTCAGACAGCAGCGAGTGCTGCCGAGCCAGCGAGCCTGGCGCACCCTTGCATGGAGACTCGGGTTCCGATGCACGGAACCCCACAATCACCGCGGGAGGCCCGCATCCGAAGGAATGGGCATGGTGATGGCCGCTCAGAGCGGCCGCATGTCTAGACAGGGGTGCATGCATGTTGGCCAACGCTTCATAAAGGGCGATCTACACAACCGTGTGGGGCTCCGAGGGGCCCTGGCGGTCTCTGCTGCTCGCGCCGCAACGCGCTGGATAAGGGCTCACGGGCGCAAATAGGCGGCAACTGGAGCCCTTTTTGTGAAAACACCTTACGAGCGAGGAAAGACGTATAGCAGTCGCGTCGCGGGAACAAATTGTGCTCTTGCAGCCGTGGCGCGTTTCGGATTAGTAGATCCTCGCTGCGAGAGCGGGTGCCAACCATGCCTGCAAAACAGGAGCTAAGGCATTCATATCTAGTGCGCGACAGGGGCGCAGCCAGCCACAGGAGGCCGCTGAGCGTGCGCGAAGCACATGCTGACTGCTGGATCACCATCCAGCGTGCTGGGAGTGGCCGCACACTGGATGCCTCGGTTGCCGCTCGCACCGGCTACTTACGCGAGGTACTGTGCCATACATCCATTACCAACGTGAGCAGCAGCCAGCTTGAGCAACACTCCTGCAGTTCAGCAGTGTTGCGAAGCGCCCAAGCCGGGCAGGCGCAACAATCCTTCAAACCAGGAAGCTCAACGACCGGAGCCGATCCGACACACCTGCATACCACGCGCCGTCAACAGCTGACATCATACCAGACACACGCACAAGAAATTGTTTGATGCAAGGCATGGCAGGGCAGCTGTGGGAGGAAGATTACGAGCACTTGCGCACAGGCGCACAACAACCGTCGCCGGCAACACCCATGAACCACAGGGCTGCGACCGAAGGTGGCTGCAGGCGGGCAAATTCTTATCAGCATATTACGGCTCCCTACTCCGACACCACAGCAGGGGCGTCAATCCTCGTCCTCTCTCACGTCGCGGCCGCCGCCATCGACGATCTGCATCCATGCGATGCGCACGATCATCGCAAACCAGTAGGCGTGCAGGCACAGCAGCAGCAGCAACGCGCCGCAGAAGCCCCACCACATGGGCGGCCGCCCGTCCAGCACGAGCGGTAGCTCAAACAGTGCGCCGCGGATCACTGTCAGCGGAAGCACCAACAGCCTCAGCACACCCCAGGAAACCGCGAAGCCCGCGAAAGCAGCTGTGGCGGCGTTTTCGCGCTTTGTGTAGTTGCAAGCTTTTGCCACCTCCAGGAAGACGTCTGTGGCGTCATGCAGGGCCATCACCAGGCAGCCGACGCGCCAGAACCTGCGCAGGCAGCATGTGCACGTGTGCGTGCAGATGCGTGTGTGTGTGTGTGTGCGCATGTGTGGTGTGTGTGTGCGCGGGTGTGCGGTTTGGTGGATGGGCGTGCATGCATGGGTGAACATGAAAGAGTAAGTGGGTACTTTTTTACTTGGGTATAGGTGTGTACATTTGAAAGCTGAGAAAGGTGAGTGCATTTTGGGGGGCAGTGCGGCGGGCATGTGAGCGGCGCTTGACGCTGGGGACGCCTCTGAGAATGCAAGCAACGAAACGGGACGAAACAGATTGCCAGATGGGGCCATGCACCCGCCTGGCATACGAGGGCACAGCAACACGTCGCGCGATTGCACAATCCACCCTGTGCCTGCAGCACACCTGAGCCGCAGCGACGCGCCAACCAGCCCGACAGTGATGATGTGGTGGGCGAACATGGCGGGGAAGTCTTTCCTTCGCACTTCCCAGAAAATTATCATGTACACGCTTGACAGGTAGAATGCCAATTCGGCATTGTACAGTACACGCATAGGCCAGCTAGCAGCCACATGAGGGTGGGGGGGCAATAATCCAGGGTGAGGCGCACATGGCATAGGGGGCCTTCAGAACAATGCGGTGACGAGCATGAGGAGTATGGAGCGGCAAGCAAGTGCCAATTGCAGAAGAGAAGTGCGCGGGGGAATGACCCGGCCAGCACCCCCCACAATCACGCGCCAGTACAGCAGGCCTGCAAGGGCTGACAGATGTATTCTTTGCTAAGAACGCAGGGCCCCTCACGTAAATTCGTGGTTTGGCCATCCCTGCCAATATTGCTGCGTGTCTTGTAGCCAGGGCTGGCGCCAGATGGCGGCGTAACCCATGCCCGTCAACATAGTGTAGCAGAGCAACTGCAAGTGTGGGGATATGTGTGCGTGTGTATGTGTGTGTGCGCGTGTTGTGCTGCGGCCTGCATGTATAACAATGAATGTCATTTGTCAGGTGCCTCCGTTCTATCGTGGCACAACGCCTGGTGCTGCTTCAGGCAAAGGCGCAAGCAGCCAGCATGTGGGCGGCGCCAGCTGCGCACCTTCCACAGCGACTCGCAGAGTTTCTCGACCTTAGCATCGAGGGCCAGATGTTTTTCTCGTCCGGGCTTGCTCCCCGCTGACAAAACAATCGGGCGCAGCAGGCGCCTTGACAGCGGCTGATGGAGAGGGAGGGAGGGTGTGACGAGCTGACGAGCTCGCTTGCGTACCTCCAGCCATGACTGCTGGGGCAAAGCCAAAGCTCCTCAGCTGTACGGGCGTTAGTTTTAATCACTGTGCTTGAAAACATCACCCGGCTTCCACCCCATAACCCCGTCAACAACCCACGGACCCCTCTCACCTCGAAGACGGCTTGGTGCAGCAGCCATCGAAGCACCGGCAAGGCCACCGCCAGGCCTGGGAGCGTGCGTGCGTATGTGCGCCACCAGAGTATGTTATGCCATCAGCAGAGCTACATTATTGTGCGTATCTTTGCCGAGCCGCAGCCCTCACATGGCCCTTCTACAGGACCACAGCAGCCGAGCGCGCCGGCCAACACACCAAGGAGCAGGCCCGCATGGACTTCGGCGCCAAGCAGGCCGCCATCCACCAGCAGGCTCATTGCAATATCTCGAGTTTTTACAACTGTGATAAGTGCTGCATCGTCTGCGGCCAGATCATCGCCAGGAGAGATCTGAAAAGTGGCCCGCGCCTCAAACGGCTGACATCCTTGTGCGTGTTCGTGTTGTTTGGAATTCTTGATACAGCATTGTTTGTTCCTTGTGAAATCCTTACGTCTTGGGAAAAGAGATCTCCGTGGTTCCTTCGTGTCACCCAGGCTGCGCACGCCAGGCACATCCTAAGCCCAGTCGCCGAACAGCGCCTCTTTTTGAGCTGAGTTTACCTGACAGCTGTCGACACCATCTACGGCCAGGGCGAAAATTGCGGCGACGAGCGCTGCACTGCGCGGCCAAGCGCGCATCCGTCGGCAAGGCCGCAACACAGCAAGCCGTCAGGGCAACCTTTTGCAACTAGGCAATCCACAAAAATTCTTCCAACACAGTAACAGCGATTGCTGCAGCACCAGCAGACGCTGCAGCGTCTGCGCCAGCAACAGCGACTGAAGCAGCGCAGCCGCAGCAGCAGCCGGCATGGCACCACGGATCCGGCTGCCGGGCATCCCCTACCTGATCGGCCGCACCAACCAGGCGCTGCGCGACCACTACCGTCGTCAGATGGCGGCTGCCTACGAGGGGGACCGCGCGCTGTACAAAGCCATGGTCACCGATCAGTCGCTGCCATTCGGCGTGCGCCAGCAGATCCAGCGGCTCTTTGAGACAGAGGTGCCGCGGGACAGCGCGCAGACGCGGCTGCGCAACCGTTGCGCGCTGACGGGGCGACCGCGGGGGGTTTTCTCATACTTCCGGATGTCGCGGCATATGTTCCGCCAGCTCGCCAGCGAGGGCATGCTGCCTGGCATCAACAAGTCCTCTTGGTGACCCGCACGCCCTGCCGGGCGCCTGCGCACAGGCTGGTGCGGATGCTTGATAGGTAGGTGCTTCTTGGTGTGTTTGAATGACCCTGCCCGTGACTTTTCAGTGTTGCCGCAATGCCTCATTCATTTAGTGGGATCTCAAGTTCAACAGATTGCTAGCTTGTAATCCGCTCAAAACACGACGCGAGACGCTGAGCTTTGCAGGACGACGTGAAGCTGGTGCGCCCCTCCTGCCTGGTGCTAGTGGGGCTGCAGGTGTCTGCTGTCAACTGTGATGCGTGCCATAGCCACAGCAGGTGCACCCAACAGCAGTCAGCAAGTATTCATAATCACATAAAAGGCATCCAGTATGATGGAAGCGTTACCAAGCACAGAGGGTCGTACCATACTTGGCAAACTCCGACAAAGCTTGACAACGCACTCAGGCGGATGGAATCCAGGGGAGAGGGTGGACAAGGCTGGCTGACAAATATCTGTTTCAAGCATTCCTGAACCAGCACGTGGTATGCACGCCAGAATGCGCATTGCGTCCGCTCCAGGAGCAACAGTGCATCAAAGCGCCCGCAGCACACCGTCTCCACAGCAGGGACGGACCGCGCCTCACCACTGCCAGCCTATATTACCGAACTCAACTAAAAATACCGCAAATATGTCACTAAGACATATACAGGCCACAATATTCCCTTCTACACAGCCTTTGGAGAGGCGGGGGTCCAAGGGTTCAAGGAGTGATCGAACACAGCGCTCCCGGAAAACGTCCCCTGCTCCCTTCCGCTTTAACATTCACGAAGCCTCCTTCAGCCGCACTTCCACCACCCCACACTCAGCAGCAGAGATGGCCCTCGCTCAGCGCAGCCTCGCGGCCAAGACCGCCAGCCGGCCCTCTCTGAAGGTGTGTTAGATTAAGCGAAGGTCATTCTGCCACCAAGATCTTGGGTGCAGCTCTCTCAGGCTGCGAACCGGGCGGGCTTCGCTACCATGCTCGCTGGGAGCGCTCTGGGCGTCTTGTGGGCTGCGATTCGGGGAACAAAGGGATATCAGAGGTAGAAAGCGTTCAGTGCGCTTGCCAGGAGCACTTCTGGGCAGTTGGCGAAACAGAGAGCGACACCAGCACAGGGCGATCGGCGGCGCCCCATCAGCTGATCTTGCGCGGTATGTGCGCCATCTTTGCGCCTTGCACAGGTGGCGGCCACCTCCCGCCGGTCGGTGGTGGTGCGCGCTGACGGCGGCTTCATCGGCTCCACCACCAACATCGTGAGCGATCTGCGCTGGAGCTGGCTGCTTCCGGCAGCTGAGGGGTCTATGGGCCAACACCTGGTGTCAGCAGATCGGGCACGCTGAGCAGCACGTGTTGGCACCATCAGCGACGTCATGCTGCTGCACGAACATGGCAGCAGCCACCGGATGCATGGGGTGCCAGGAGTTGGGGAGCCGCGGCCGCCGATGGGTGAAGACATAAGCGTCTTGGATTCATTTTCCGCCCGGGTCACATGACGTCGCGTCCTGCCACGCCACGCCCCGCCTTAACCCGCGCAGATCATGGTGGCCTCCACCGGCCTCACCCTGGCCGCCGGCCGCTTCGGCCTGGCGCCCACCGTGAAGCAGGGCACCACCGCGGGCCTCAAGCTGGTGAACCGCGGCAACTCCGCCGGCATCATCAGCAACGACCCCGCGGGTGAGGAGGGAGGGGCGCCGACACGCCTCACGAGGCAGGAATGGCGGGCAACTGCATGTGCTGCCTGCACGACAGCTGAGATGGGACGCCTCCAAAGTGCGCCGCGCCCCACAGAAATGCTGTGCGGTGGCCAACCTCTGCTGGCTCACACCCCCCAAACATCACTCCTGCAGGCTTCACCGTTGTGGACACCCTGGCGCTCGGCGCCCTGGGCCACGTGCTCGGCGTGGGCATCACCCTGGGCCTGCGCGCCACCGGCAACATCTAGATCTGTAATCTCCACTCATCCACCTCCCCTTTTGGACCCTGGTTCGCACCTTGCCTTGCAGCTGCCCATGTCCGACCCTTCCAATGGCTTGCTAGTCGGATGTGCCAGCGCTTGGCGGCACCGTCGCCGGGGCACAGCAGCGGCGTGCGCCGCCCCCAGCAGCTTGTGAGAGCGAGCGTGTAATCGAGAGCACCCTGGCGGTTGCAAGGCCCTGGATCCCGAAGCTGTGCTTGCTTACACTACAAATATACAAGTGTCACCGATCATATCTGCATATACAGCGGCCATCACCTGCAGCACAACTGTTATCTAGGCTCAGCAAACTGCAAAACGTGTGCAAGCATCGCGAGATGCAGGATTGCTACACCAAAGACACGCAGCATCACAGGCACGCCACCGCAAAACGTGGATTCTGAAGCAAACAACTCACCAAACTCTGTCACACAGCTATGTGGTAAGCGTTGACGCCACTGGATGTGAGTCCATCAAACGGCTCTAGTCCAAACACGTGACGAGCACGTCCACAAGCAGCTAGCTGCATTTGAGAGGAACCCATTACTCTGAGACCAACAAAACTCAGGATTGCGCCCACTGATGGTGCTTAGCAACAGTGGGTGCGTGGGCCACCAGTATGCTTGTGTTTTTCAGTCTGCTGCTGCTTGACACATTGCATCACATTGCAGGCATCAGCGCTTGCGCGTTGCGGTCACGATGGTCTGGCTCAGTGTGGTATTCCCTGGGCCTCCCCAACAGCTCGCGATAGGTGTTGCTGCGCCACCATTGGCAGCTTTTGATAGAAGTGGGTATCACACGCCATCCAGTGGCACAGCCTCCGCCGCCCCAACCACCGCAGCCTGGGGCCCACGCACATTGGCTGTCAACCAATCGCCATCGCGGGTTTGGCAGGTTCCATCGCACGCTCAGAGCAGGCGCCCGCCTCCGCGCTCAAAACCGCTGCAAACCACTCGTGCGCGGCGGCGCCTGCCGCTGTGATGCGCTGGCTGGGATCCTTTTCCAGCATTGCGCATATGAGCCGCCTGGCGTGCGGTGAGATGTGCGCCCAGGCGTCCCGCAGGAACATGGGGCTGCCGCTGACAATGCCGTCACACAGCCTGGCGGGTTGGAGATCGAGAACGGCGCACGCGCACATACGGCAGGGCCGTCGGGGTCGGGGGGTGCAAGTTGTTGTGCATCGTGCTGCGGCACCCGCGGGGGAGTGCATGTTTGCCAGTTTATGTGCTTTGTGATGACGTAGCAGAGACAATTCATGCACAACGTGCACGCAGGGTTGCCCAGCACAACAAAGCTCAGGTGGCAAGCACGCTCACTCTTCTGCGCTCATGCCATGGAACGCGTCTGTGTCGCCGGCCCAGAATGGGAAGGAGCCGCTCAGCAGATGGAACAGCATAATACCGGCCGCCCTGTCCACACATGTGTGCGTGTGCAGTCTTGATGTGTGAATTGTGTGTCCGTCCATATGTATGTGAATTGTGAATCGTGAACTAGATGATGACAAGCTGGGCTGGCAGCAAACATTGCGCCAAGGTTATGGAAGAGTGATCCATGGAAGCTGCTCTGTACGCAGTGCCGTGTGCAGTGCGCCACGCAGCATCTGTTTTGACGCCACGTTCCTTGCAAGGCACTGGCAGGTGGATCCCTCTGGAATGCCGCACCAGACGTCCGAGTGCGTGCCAAAGCAGCTCCGGAAGCACTCGGGCGCGAGGTACGCTGGGGTCCCGCTCACAGACTGTACAAAGGAAGGACGGCGTTGTTTGCGGTGAGGGCGGTAATGGAGGGCAGCACCGAGAGATTGCTCAGCAGTGCAGATAACGTGCCTGCAGAGACAAAGCGCGGGTGGCCCAAAAGCAGCATGAATTCAGGGCACTCAGTGAACCCATCTCACTCCTCGTGTGTCAGGCACAGTAAAAATGCAGACTTACCACAGTGGGGAGGCATGCGCCGGGCTCGGCCCATCGGCAGCAGCCGAAGTCGACAGCACAGACGTTTATGGGGCCCTTTGGTGCAGACGGGTCGAGCATGTGAGCTATTGATGGGTAGAGGTTACGAAGCACAAAATTGTTGGGTTTCACGTCGCCTGTGGCGATTGGGGCGGTTTGTGGAAGTTTGAGGGAAAGGGTTGCACCGACGCGAGGCTGGCCGTCAACTGCACTGCTAGGACCGGCGAGGGCAGCAGGGGCTCTGCAATCTGCAGCATCGTCATGGCCAATGTGATGTGGCCTGGCTGCCAAATGAAGCTACTCGCATCCGACGGTCTGTCCGCAGAAAAAGTTATCATGCTCTTGCAGACAGGCCCCTGAACTGTGCCCACGCACGCGCCGACCCCTTGCCGGCATTGTCATTAACAGGATCACCCACCATAGCAGATTCCCCTGCGGTGTGCGTTTTCCAGGAAGCGCAGCACACCCAGCATAATGGTCGCCGCCTCGCGCTCCCCGACGCGGCCGCCGCTCACCGCCTGCAGGCTGGCCACATCGCCGCCGCTGCAGAGCTCCTGAACGATATAGATGCTGTCTGTGTCCTACAGTTTGTGTGCATGTCAGGTTGTGGACTCAGCAATGGTGATCCCAGCAATGCTGTGGTGCCACGGCGAGGTATGTGTGTGTGTGTGTGTGTGTGTGTGTGTGTGTGTGTGTGTCATTTCTGGAACCATAACACTCACAGCTTGCTGGTCAGCACCACGCACGTGCACTGCACAGTGCTGATGCTACGCCAGCTGTGCTCAATGACACAATATATGGTTGACCGCTGCCAGAATCTGAGCATCCTTGCTCCGCAAGTCTGCGGGGGACAGGCAGCGATGACAACCACGCACCTCATACACCGCAAAGAGCTGCACGACGTCACTGCGTTGCTGAAGCTTCCGGCAAAATTCCACCTGCTGCCAAACACCCAGGGGGTGGGAGCTCGTAAGTTGCAAGATCTCTTGCTCTGGCTGTCGTGCGTCAAGCCGCTGCTGGCGCCACAGACTCCCTGTAAATATCTTGCCGCAGCATGCCTATTGCCAGTGACCCGGAAGCCAAGCCTGCAGCTCCTGCACCCGAGGGAAAACGTGTACCGCCCTCCCCCCGCAACCCACTTGCCTCTTGGTGGATGTCCTCCCTCCTGTCACGGCCGCACTTTGACAGCACCTTGACCGCGCGCCGCTGCCCGCTCGCGCGCTCCGTTGCAGCGCGCACCTCGCCAAATGTGCCGCGTCCGAGAAGCTCCCCCATCTCGTAGGCCGCGTCAAAGCTGCCCTGATTTTGCCTGTAATCAAGCTCCTGCTTCTGCTGCTTCTGCTGCTTCTGCTGCTTCTGCTGCTGCTGCTGCTGCTGCTGCTGCTGCTGCTGCTGCTGCTGCTGCTGCGGTAGCACCGAGATGAGCGCTGCCGGCAGCACCTGCACGTGGATGTGGTCTCCATGGCACAGTGGCTGCTGCAGCGCCGCTGGCAGCGGCGGCGGCAGAACGGGCGGCAGCAGGCGCGAGGCGCTGGCCGGCAGCCTCAGCTGCTCCAGCAGCAACGCTGTCGGTGTGGTCGCGAATTTGTCGTGCGCGGGGCTGGTGCTTTCTGTGCCGCAGTCGCCTTCTGTCAGCCCGGGGGTCCAATCGACCGTCGCCGATGCGGCCTGGGTGATGATGTTGCTGCGCACGTCCATGATAGGCGGCTGCAGCGTCGGGAAGGTCACAGAGGTGTAGACTCGGTTGGCGTCACTGGCTGCAGCGCTGGAGCAGATAGCTGCCTGGCTGGATGCAGGCGGCGCTGAATCCAGCCGTGGCGAGGCTACCGGTGTCATGGCACGAGGGCTCGGCATACGGGTGGTGAAAGACGGCGTGCGGCTGCCCAGGCCACAGGAAGCGGCCCGGGAGCTCGCCGCCGCCAGCGTGGGCCCCATGCTAGGGAGGGTCTGGTGTGTGCGGTGGCCAAGCCTGGGGCAGGATGGCCAAATGTGCAGTCCTGTTCAGGTTCAGGGGGTGATGTTGCACAATACTCTATGGTGATGTATCATATGTCGTTGAGCCCTAAGTTCTGCGCGCGGGCATGCCTCCTGTGGCACGTCCCAACTGCTTCAGACTTCGTTGTCCGTTGAGTACAGTGAAGATTGAGAAGATTGATCACTATAACCAAAAGATGTAAGAATCCAATTCGCACGTGCGTACTTTGGGCTTGCAGGCTGCACTCGGCCTATCGCAGCAAGTGCCCCCCGGAAAGGAGCAGCTCGACACCTGCTCGAGCTTACTGCACCCAAGTTGATCAAGCAAGAACTTTCCAAGGTATTCAAGGAACCTCCGCTAGCATCGTCGCCAGCCCCGACAGCAAAACCTCTGGGTGGAAGGTGCATGCATGGAAGCAAACAGCACCTGTTGCATGTGGTGTGGGTTGGGACCCGTGTCAGCCTGCTGCACGCTTGTTCATGCAGCGCCTGTGCGTGCTGCTCAAAAGGGACAACTCAGCTTGCCCCAACGAGCTCAGCGGTGTAGAAGCAGGGGGTAACTCTGCCCACTGTTGGCGGCGCTGCAGCAGCTCAAGCTTAGGGATGGGGCTGCAGCACACAACGTTAAAAGCATCACGAGTGTCTCAAAAAGTGCTGTTGGGGCGCACCCCATCCCGAGGGCGTAAGTTGCAGGTGAAACACTTGCCAGGTGTTGCGACTGAGCGACCGAGACTTGACGTGGCAGGTTCTGCAGCACAGCGCTTTACTGGAGTGGTGTGAGGAGCATGCAGTGCGAGCTGGCGGCCGAGGCCGCCGCAATGGGCCCGAGCGCTCTTTGGAATGGAAGGGCGCTGCAATACAGGAATGGTACAACAACGCTCAGGAGCGCGTCGTGGCCCGCTGCGATACAAGCGGTCTGGCGTCGTGCGTGCCGCGCCCCGCTCCCCCCGTTACGCACGCCTCACTGCAACAGCGATCGCACACAAGCGCAACAAAGCAGGAACAACGGCGCCGCGCAAACCACCCTCGTTGCCACCCCTCACATGCGCGCGGGTGCCGCGAAAGGCGGGCGCGCGTCACCGCTCCTCGCGGCTGGCTATGGTGCTGAAGTAGGCCTCGTACAGCGCCTCGTTGGCGCGCGCCACCGCCCGCGCAACCTCACGGAACTCCTCCAGCCGCCGCTGCTCGCGCTTGCTCAGCACGGGCGCGTGGCGCCACACCACCTTGGCCGCCGCCGCCAGCAGCAGCGCCGCCGCGAGCGCCGCCGCGACCAGCGGCGCGAATGCGGGCTCGACCCACGCGTCGCGCAGCAGCAGCCGCTGCGCGGCGTCGCTCGCGCAGGCGCCGCCGGGCGCGCCCGGCTCGCAGAGCGCGCCCGCCGCGCGGATAGCCAAAAGCGTCGCCAGCGCGGCAAGCGCGCCCAGGGTGGCCACGCTGAGGCCGAGGCCGCGCAGCGTGCGAGCGGTGTTGGCCTCCCTGTTAGCCGCATCAGTCACCTCAACCTCTGATATGCGTGAGATGACGCGGTCGCAATCGGCGCGCAGCTGCCGCAAGTTTTTCTGAACCGTCTGGTCGATCGTCTGTCATTTGTATGTGGAATTGTGTGTGGAATTGCGGGTGTGCGTATATGTGTGTGCGCGTGCGTGCGTAGCAGTGTTGGCGGGACCTTTGCAGCTATGAACTGGCGGTCACGTGGCAGGTCGGAGGCGTGCACAGGAACCAAGTGAGCACACCGGCACAGCAATCCACAGTGATCCACCCCAAGGGCGTATCAAGGGAACCCCCTGCACGCGCAGGCCGGGAGGCATCCGACGTGGTATGAAGGGGCGGGTGCGGCGCGCCCACCTTGTCGATGGTTTTGCAGACGTCCTCAATGGCGTTGGCTGCACAGGCAAGGCGGTACAGGAAGGGCACGTCCCGCGCCAGCGTCCGTCACAGCAATGAGGGGTCCGGGTTGGGGATTGCACACGGAGCCAAAGCAGGTCAGGGCGCTTTCGTGGCCCCCTGATCATGGCCCAAAGCAAACAGGTTGCGAGGGCTGAACCGGCGGCGGCTACGGATTTCATTTGCAATCAATAGCGGGCCTTGGGGCGCTGCGCGCGGCTCTGCTGGCCGCCCAACGTCGCGGCCCGCGCGCGGCAGCCACGCGCTCACGTATGGTGCATGGCAGGTCGTCGTCGTGCGGCAGGTAGAACGTGGGCAGGTTGAACGCGTGGCTGTTGCGGATGCGAGTCGCCAGGTTCTGGCGGCGGGATAGGGCAGGAGACGCGGGCAGAGTGGATGACTGGGGGCGATGATGGCTGCAGGGGCTGATGGGTCAGCGCCAAACGCCGCAAACTCATTCTATTGCGCATTGCATCTATTGCCCGGCACACAGTGATGCGATCGGCGAAGCGATTGTAGGCGGCGCCCCCGCCCCAGCCCGCGCTCAGCCCCCCGGCCTGCGACCCTCCCGCAGGCAGGTGCGCAGCCGTGCATGCCCTGACCTGCGTGATCTGGATCAGCACGCGCTGCCGGTCCGATTCAGACTCCACCTCGTCCGCCTTTGACCTGGCCAGGTGGCATGTGCGTGTACAGTGGGGGCGAGAGGGGTCCGTCTCAACAGAGGAAGAAGGGGTCCAAGAGCAGGCACATGCAGTTGAAGCCTGAAGCAATGCTGACAGTGCGCTAGTGGCCCGTCAGCCGCCGCCTTGAGCATAACATGCATCACGGGCTCGCCGCTGCTCCCAAGCCGCCCTTATCCTGCCGCCCCACCATCACCGGGCATTGCAGTCCCTATTGACGCGCCTCCGCTTCATGCAGCAGTCACACCATTCAGCACGGCCCCCGCCAACAGTTGCGACCAAAGGCCTGGCAGCCCATGCCGTCACCACTGGCCGCGGGCCCCTCACATGAAGTAATGAATCTTCTCAACATGCGATCCCTGGTTGAGCCGCTCCACCAGCCCGAGCACGCGGCGGCAGGTGGCCTGGCCTGCAGGGGTGTGTGTGTGTGTGCGTGTGAGTGTGTGTGTGTGTGTGCGTGTGTGTGCGTGTGTGTTTGTGTGTGCGTGCCTACGTGCGTGTGTCAATGTGTTGGGAAACATCGGGGTAGGGGGGCATGGAACGGATGGGCGGGAGAAGGGGCTTTGCCGCCACGCGAGGGTGTGCAGGGCTTTGCAGGATGGTGCTTAGAGGCTGGCAAATGATATCTTTTACAAGAAGGCAAAAGAAGAGATGCCGGCCACGCCGGAATGCCTCCACAAAAGAAGCGGGAGCACAGCCATGTACTAAGGATGTAGACACAACCTTGGACTGATATGTAACACAATGTAAATTATTATGTGTGCATGTGTGCGGGCATACTTCTACATGCACACACTCTCTCTCCCTTTCACACAACCCCACACGCACGCAAGTACACACGAGATAACGCACACGTTTACAAGCCGCACCTATGGGGTCCAGGAAAACCAGGATCAGGTCAACGTGGTCTGCCAGCCAGCAGATGGAGTCCTGGGGGCAACACAGGGCGTTGGGGGGAGGGGATTGGGTATCGCATCAGAGACGGGTGGCCGTCCAAGGACTTCGATCTTGCTCGACCAGCAGGCAGGCAGGCAGGCAGGCAGGCGGGCAGGCAGGCAGGCAGGCAGGCGGGCAGGCAGGCAGGCAGCAGTTGTGCAGTGTCCGCGGGGCGGGGCGCCATCCCCCCACCTCCACTGGGAAAGGGTACTTCATGTCTCCGTCCACGAGGCCGGGGCTGTCCACAAAGTCAACGCACGCGAAGGACCGCTCCAGGCTGGTGGACACCTCCGTGAACAGGTTGGGCTGGGCAGGGAATTGTTTTTTTTTGGGGGGGGGAGGGAGGGCAGCGGGAAGGGCAGCGGCGAGGGCAGCAGTGTAAGAAGGTCCAGACAGCAAGGCCCGCTGTTTTCGCGTCGGAAGTGCACGCACGTGTGGCAAGGGCAGACACGCCACGTGCTCCTGCGACGCTGAGGAAGGAGCCTGGCGTGAGCCCGCGCTCAAACGCCGTGCGCTTCAAGCACAGCCTGTCCAGGCCCGAAGAAAGTCGCGGCGGCCAACCCAACAAGTGGCCCGCCCCGTGCCGTGCACCCCTCTGTCCCTGAAACGGGAAATCTGCATCATCACAGACGGGCAAGCACCCCAACGCCCCCTGCCGCGCACCAAGAGGCCCTCAAACGCCGCAAAGTCCGCGAGGTGGTCAAAGTAGCGCACTGTGGCGTCGCCCGTCAGCGTCTCACGCCGCCTGGTGGGGGTGGGGAAGGGGGAGGGGGTGCTGGGTGTGGTGCGGCGCCTCGCAACAGGGTGCGCAGCGCTGCATGCGCGGCGGGCTCCTTTGTCGGGCGGTCATGGCAGACCAGCTTCTCTCCACGCAGACACGGGGCGGGCGGTTTTGGGGGGCCGGGCATTCTGGGCTCACCTGCCACTGGTGCAAAAGATGAAGCCCCTGCCAATGGGAGGTGGGGGGGATTCGTTTGATTGTTAGCGTGTGCGACATGTGTAGATTGTATGTGTGTGTGTGTGTGACTGTGCGTCACTGTGTGTGTCTCTGTGTGTGTCTGTGTGTGTAGATGTGTAGATGTAGATGCGAATATGTGTGCATGCTCTCGCGAGCAAGAGCATTTGCGTGCAAGTAAAGGGGTCAGCACGTGCACAACAGCATGAAGGGGGAAGGCATGTTGCTCACACGGCCATGCATTAACACTGCAGGAACGCACCTCGTTTCGATGGCTACGCCCGTCTTGCACACGCGCTCTCCTATGTACCTGCAAGTAGGGGCACGTGAGCATGCGCGAGTGTATGCATGCGTGCGTGTGTGTGTGTGTGTGTGTGTGTGTGTATGTGTGTGTGGTGTGTGTGTGTGTGTGTGTGTGTGATTGGGGGGCCCCAGGGAGGACGCGGGCATGCACAAGGCAGCGCGCTCGAGGGTGCCACCACATGGCATCACTCATGTAACTGCAAACATAGGCTCACCAGTTGATAAAGGAGGACTTGCCTGGGCGGGCAGGGGCATGTGGGGGGGGGGGTGGGTGCGAGCCAGCAACTTGCTTGCTTGTTGTTATGCGTGCTCAGGGACGGCGTGCATTACGCCATGCCGCCCCAGCTGCATCCACCACAATGTTGCAAACGGTGCGCAAGGTGTCATTCCACACAGAGCTCTGTGCCGAACGGCTGCATTCGCGGGTGCACCAGCACCACCGCCACTGCACTATCCTTGCTGCTCACAGGGCCCAGCATCACGCGCTGCGGCCCGTGCTCGTCGCGCCACGCCAGCCGCAGCCCACCCGCGCTGTGGTTGCCGATGATCATGACAGACATCTTCTTGCGGGGCTTGCGGATCTCCTTGCCCAGCCCGAGCGCCGGGTGGTTGGCAATGGACAGCAGCCCGATGCCGCCCGCGGCGGCCTTGCCGTCGCCGCCCGCATTGAGGCCCGACTCATACAAAGAGGTGATCTGTCGGGCAAGAGGTGGGCCGGCGCAGTGTTGAAGTGTGCAAGCTGCTGCTGGGAGGCTGTCTTGGAGCGGGCTCTTACAATCTGCGCTCGTTGGCGGCACACCCTGTTGGCCATCGCAGCCAACTGCATGGAAACCGCCCCCTGGAGGCGCCGCCTGGAAGCACCATTGCAGCTCTCTGTACGCTGCGGGGCAGGAAAAGGCTTACCTGCTTGAGCACCTTCTGTGATGCATCTGCCAGCTGCTCTGACGCCATCGCTGGCAATTGCACCTTGTGCGCCGCAGCAGCAGCGCGGCACTCGCAACGCAATCACACCCGAGCACTTGCTGCTCTGCAGCCCGAGTCCTCTCAGACACCTCTGAGCTCCTGAGCCACTCGTAAGCGACAAAAAGTAGTGGGAAATATGATCAAATGATCCACCGCGGTCCGCGAGTTGATCGATGCAAGGCCGAACACAAATGAATAATTCAAATCAAGAAATATGTGAGTCGCCTGAGAAGGTGCTTGGTGGTTGCTTTCGAGGCAACAGGACACCAGCACGAGTGTTTAGACCAAAAAGACGGCATCAGATGCCTCATCATTCGGCTGCTATCAAGTGTTAGTCTAGTACCTTATAGGATATACGTCGAGCGCCTGACAGAAGAGATCATTTCACACCACCGAGCGGTCTGGGGCCAACAAGGCCGCTTACAACATCTGTGTGGGAAGCTTATTTGCTCAAGATTCATAGGCGCTCGCTCACTTTGCGGTGCGAACCGTGCTGTGCGCTCGCAGCAAGAGTCGACGCTAGCCCGCGCCCTTTCTGTCACAACGTCGATTCCTGAGCTTGACAAGGCTACGTGATCGTAGCTGGTAACGTGGAGCGCGGCGAGGCCTCTGCCGCCGAGCGACGTGGACTCCGGCACTGCTGTGCGCGCGCCGTGGGCCGCCTGCCGCCCGCTGCGCCCACCTAGATTCGCACCGCCGCGCGCCCGGCGCCAGGCACGGTCATGGCGTTCACGCAGACCAATGGTCTGGGGTTTCAGACCCAGGACGGCATGCTGACCGCCAACGACGGCACTGCAGCGGGCCTGACGGCGGCATTTCATGACTTTGGCACTAGCCAGAACGACGCATATCTGCAGTTCACCGACTTTGGCCATGTGAGTGCAGTTGATGACATGTGGCTGTGCCATGCGGGTGATGCATTGACAGAGGGGCCCGCGAGCAGGTTGCATGCGTCTTTCTGGGGTGGCGGCCTGACGTTCACAGTGCGTGGACAGGGCCCACACGGGCTTGGCTGGATTGCAGTCGTGAGGGCGGCAGCTTCAAACTCCCACGCGCTGAGCACGCGCCCCTCCATGTCACCACACCTGCCACAGGGCGCATCGCAGAGCAGCCTCGCATGGACCGACGGCCTCGGAGCTGCGCCGCAGCGGCAGCCGCAGGTGGGCGGCGGGCTCAGGCGCTTTGGCGCCCCTGCGGCAGCAGTGGTGTGTATGCCAGTCCCCATGTTTAGTTTGCCGCAGGCTTAGAATAGCAGTGGGTGGGACAATGGCAGCCGACGGCTGCGTCTCCCATCATGATGCTCCCTGCAGGTCCCTGGCGCTGGCTACAGCATTGATGGGCTGACGCCCTCACTCAATCAGGTGACAGCTGGCAACTGCCCAAGCAGGGCGTGCTACAGTGATGCCCCCGTCACTTGGCAGTTAAACGGTACAAGTGGATAAACCTATCACACACAGCTCACCCTATAATCCGCACCTCTGTCACCATGCATCCCTGCCATCATGTGGCATGTTGCAGCTGCGCTTTGACGAGGGATTTGACGACGCATCGAGCGCCCAGACGCCCGAGCAGCTGCCGGAGTGGGCGTGCGCGTGAGTGCAGAGGAGGGCGCAGGAGTGGGGAAACCAGCGGATCCCTTGTTGCCAGCGGCGGCGGCGGCAAGGGGTTGCGGCAGTGGCGGCAGCAGGCGTGGTCTCGGGCGTCACACGGTCGTGATTGCCTGGTGCATCGTCGTCGTCGCGCCCATGCAGGAGCCGCGCCCCTGCCGTCCAATCCCACTGCCCTGTTCCTGCCGCCCTCCTCCAGGTACTGCGGCATCCACAACCCGGCCAGCGTCGTCAAGTGCGTCTCTACTGGCAAGGTGCGACGTACGCGTGCACACGCTCGACGGCCGCATCACCTTTACCGCGCCTTCATACGCAGGTCTTGCTCAATACGCCCTCGCCTGCCCCTTGCAGCCCGGGCCTCCTCTCAGCCCTGCCCCTCGTTTTGCGATCCGCCTGTCTCCCACGCCAACCCCGCAGTGGTTCTGCAACGGTCGCATGGGCGCCAGCGGCTCCTGTATCGTGGTCCACTTGGTGAGTTTGGGCCGGGACGCCTACTCTCGCCCCTGTTGCATTGCCCCTGTTGCATCGAGAGTGGCAAAGCATCTGGGCCTATCGCACTGCATCAACGACATGCCGGAAGCGCAGCACAAGTGCCCATGTGCCTGGCGGCACGGCCGTGTCCAGCTACTCGTACGCCTTTTGGCCGGCATCCCTCCACCCCTTCGCCTCCCGCCCAACCCTTTTAAACGCCCTATTGCCAGGTTCGGTCGCGCTGCCGCGAGGTGCAGCTGCACAGGGACAGCCCCCTGGGGGACGCCGTGCTGGAGTGCTACAACAGCGGCGCCCGCAACATTTTTGTGCTGGGCTTTGTGCCAGTGCGCAGCGACAACACGGTGCGTGCGCACACGCGTACGCGCAGGAATCTTGTTCGGCGGGCACATCGCAGCAGAGCCCGGCATGGGCGCATCGCCCAGTGGCTCCACTGTTTGCAGGCATATTGTCTCACCACTGCTTGTTCCCTTTCACGGCCTCTGTTGCGGCTGCTTTGTGGTTGGTTGGCACCCTGCTCAGCCGTCACAGTCGCGCCCAGCCGGTGCCCCATCGCCGCTGCCGCCGCCGCCGCCGCCCGCGACCCGCGACCCGCGCGCTCGCACGCCCGCCGCTCGCACCCGCGCGCAGGTGGTGCTGCTGGCGCGCGACACGCCGCCCAACGCGCCGGCCGTGAAGGACCTGGGGGTGGACATGTCCCAGTGGCAGCCCATCGTGGAGGACCGCATGTTTGTCCCCTGGCTGGTCAAGCCGCCCGGCGACGACGAGCGGCTCCGCGCGCGGCGGCTCACGCCGGCGCAGATTGGTGCGCGGCGCGGCTCGGGGCTGCCCGCTCCTGGGCGGGCTGGGGCGTGGGGCGCGCCTGCGCCGCCGCGGCCGGCTGTTGAGCATGCGTGTGTTTGCTGTTGAGCATATGCGTGGCTGCTTGAGCCTTTATGCCTCCCCTGCCTCCCCTGCCAAATACTCCCGGGAATGTGCAAATCACTTACGTGCGCGCGCACGCTCACACACATACACACAACTCACACACACATCACACACAACCACACCTTGTTTTGCTTTCCCTCACACACACACGCCGCACCCGCACCGCCCCCCCCCCCCAGGCGCCCTGGAGGAGCTGTGGAAGGCGCGGCCAGAGGC